TGCAAATATCGAATGCAGTAAAGGAGCAATTAGTATGGACGACAGTGGCGCGTCTCGTCTAAACGAATGCATAATGAAGGCAAAGCGCCCTCCAAGAGTCAGCGATACGTCGGCGGCAACACCTTGTGCCACAGGCCACAGGTGTTCACCGTAGACTTCCTGCGTGCATACTGATCCGATGCCACGCGCTCGTCGCTATCTCTAAATATCGTAGTTACGCACGTGTTTCGTATGCTTGCAAGGATGCGCATGGACATTTGAAGCATATAGAAGCAACGTTCGAACCATGCGTGGATCAAGTTCGGTCGAAGCAATTCGTGTAAATTTTCGGTCAAAGAAATAAGCTTTACAGCGAAGGCGATTCTTTGGAATGGAAACGAGGCAGGAAACATCCCTTTACAGTTATACTCTTTCGACTGAAAACCGTGGTTCGACTGACTTATCGTCGACGTGGCAGTAACTCGGCCTCTGCACTCCAGGCGCTAAAACGTAGCCGCGAGAACGAGCACCAGCTCATCCACTGACGACGTTCGCAATCCTGCACGTGTATACCGTACAAGTACGATCCTGGAGCAATCAGTCGGAATTTTTCTCCGGTTCGGAATGTTCTCCGCTTATAGCGGCGACATTGCACGAACGCCTGTTAGACACCGGGAAAAGATCGGTTTCTTTCGCGAGGACGACGAGTTATCGTCGATAACCTTCGATTCGGTCGCCTCGGAACGCTTTATCGCTGAAAAAGTTGCCTCATTGCTCGAGACTCTGAGCAACAGAGTCGCGACTTAAGACGACTGCTCACTATCGAACGTGTTCGCGAACGGTGCTCGCGATATGTTCGCAAACATTTTAACTCGAAGGTTTAAGGTTTAACATAATCACGAAGGTTTCAGTATAGGTTCGGTATAGTTCAGTATGATTCTTTCAAGTACAAAAAGTACGAAGGGTAGCCGAAATAAAAATTAAGTTGTTATTATCGCTACTGTTCGAAAGATCGGGATCACTTACTTTAACCGAGAAGAGGACGTGGATTTTTTGATGAAAAGACAAGCGAAAGAATTTTCAATTTTTGTTTTCATGAACCGTGAATATTAGAAACAATCTATAACTTCTCAGCACGAACGCGTTCGCGGGCAGATAGCGCGACCACGAACAGACGTAGAACTGTTACGAACTGTTCGCAAATACCTTGTGAGGATGCACCTTAATAGAAACCGATCGTGTGGTTGTTCGCGCGTTCGATCTGACCTCGGATAAGCCGCGAACGAACTGATATTTATTTCACGCTTATAACAGCTCTGTTTGTTATCTCGGAAACGGAGATTATACGATGGGATATTGCAAAGATCCCGTTGGACTCGGTGTGCTGGCTCTAATTGGAAGGACTGCTTCGGCCCTCGGGGGCGCACGAGGAATTCGTGCAGAGGCCGTGCAGATTCTCGCATTCCACACCGATACCAGAGAGAGGTCCGGCTTCTTCTCTCTTTCTCACTGTCCTCCCCTCTCTCTTTCTGCATTTATAGAGCTGCTCGCGCCAAGTTTGAACTCGCGAGACCCTTCCATGCTCCCCCGTTCGCGAAACGGAAGAAGCTCGACCGGTTTCTTTTTTGTCGCGTCCGCGCTCGCTCTCTCGCGCACGTCTTCTAGAACGCGACCACCGTGTGGACTCCGGTCGCCTGCTCGCCTCCAAAGAATTTACTATGTACCAAGCGGTAGTCACCGATTCCTAGCTGATAGCGTTGGGAATGGTACCACAGGTACCACACCGATACCTATCGAGACTAACTTGCGAATTTCATACAGTGGTTCAGTGGAAAGTATTTGGACACTCAACGTAGAAAACTTCGATGTGCGTACATTCTACCATGCGTGTTATACGTGTAAAATATTTTGAAATTCCATTGACAATGAGACACGACTGCCATTACTGTCGTGGTATAATTTGAAAGCAGTCGGAAAATGTCTCTTTGAATATTTAGACTTATTAATACAACGAATAATTACACTGTTTAAATACTTCCGTGATTTCCGTCAAATATATATTTGTACTAAATACCTTATAAGTTTGAGATATATTAGACCAATATGATCATTCACATATAGTATATCCATAAAAAGTATCTACAAGCATACCAACTCCTTCGTAAGCAATTGTCATATCGTACTAAAGACGATGGTATTAGCGTAGACTAGCTTTCCTCGTAAATTTGAAAAAGTTGCGATTCTTTATTTGATCGATTCTTATAAAACATGACTCTCAAGTCCTATCGCTGCTAACTGAACATCCGGCTGCATATCGAGCGGAACGGTGTCATGGGAACTTTCGTTTTCAATGTTTTCTTCTTTGTGATCTTGTTTCATCGATCGTCCGTGACGGATTACGCGTCAAACAGCGTTGATCATAAGTGAATCGCAACTTTTCTCTTAGCGTGTTCTTCCGCCACGTACGCTCCGGTTTCCCACGCGCAGCTTTGCACAGTCAACATTCTTGCGCCAACTAATCAACCGCGCGTGACTATCCTTTGAGATGCCGCCGCCACTTGGAATTTTCCTTTTCAAAGTCAACTTTGACTTTGAACGACTAGCGAAACGCACTTCGTGGAACGACAAGATTTCGCGTACTTTCAATTCTAAAACTTCTTCTACGCGATAATTCTCACTGCAGAGATATTCGATTCTGTAGAGATAATATTTTTTCTCTTCAAAAAATGTTCATAATGGAACACCGTTTGTACGAATCTGTAGCGGAAAAGAACAGCTGAAATCAGTGTCTACTCGAATAGATGGATCCAATTCATAGGAGGCGAAACGTACGAAATTCATATAAATAGAGTTCTACTTTATTCGCTAGAGTATTTCGGCAATGGAAGACATCCAAAGCAGCCAATTCATATTCGCGAATCCGTTAACCAACGCGTTTCTGATTATTCTCTGTACAGTCGGCGGTCCCGTTCGACAGGTACAAAACTCTGGATACAATTTAAACGGTCGTACACATTGCGTGACAATGAGCCGGCTTTTACAAGCATGCATATGTCATTTGCGTCACGTTCGTCATTGTCAGGGATATCGGAGCAACTAGCGCGTCGCGCATGCAAATGTATCCTGGCTAGCGGTAATTCGTACACGTTACGTGTTACCACATAACGTGAAAACTCAATCGTGGTCGGTTTCTCTCGTAACCTTGCGCTCTGGAAACATGCTCGTACGACAAAGAGGAACACGAATAAGCACTTTGCGTTTCCTTTCCAAACACATAAAATAACATCGATGATAAAACAAGGCCAAAGAAGATTTCATGTGTTCGTAAAATAAATATCTTGTAAATTGGATCGTAAAACGTTAGCTGAAACGAGTGAGCGTATACGGCTATGGATACAGAGAATGTGGATTCTGCAGAATTGTTCTTCATGTATCAAATACATATGTATCCGAAGACCGAAATACATATATTCGCAGAAATCTATTAACATTTAATATGTTTACTGAAGATTTGATTGTTCTAACATATTCGTTGAAACGACAGTTCATCGGAGTACGTTGCTACTGTAACCATAGCCTAACAAGATATAATTACACGTAATAGGTGTAAATTTGTGGTACGAGCGAACTTAGGGGAAATCCTATCACTCAAAATACGACAAAAATCAGGAATAACAGGAACATCTTCTCGTTAAATACTTTCTTTCTTTGAAGATATTTTGTTCGTAATAAGAACGTGTATAAGAATACAAAAAGAACAGTAAAGTTGTATTAAATACTAAAATCAAATATTTAAAAATTATTTATATGTCAGTAATGTTCATTTAGAATATGAGAAGAGCAAAATTAACGAGTAAAAAAAATACAGGGAATGTCAAATATTTCAATATGTCTATGGGACATTTTAACTAAAAAGGGTAGTATGTATAAGTGCCTTGCAATCAGCCTCAATTTCAGGCGCTACCTCGAGCCCAAATGGCCCGAACTCGAACTCGAAGGAAATTCGAGCCCTCAAAGGCCAGCTAACTTCTTTTTTACCGGCCACTCGACTCCAGTCGCCTTATGGCGAAACACTTGTCAGTGGCGCTCAAATCCACCCGAGGGCGCTTCTTACCCCCACCATTTCGCGTCGTTATCCGCTTCCCAAATCGAGCGGATTCTTTTTAGGTGGTGACCCCGAGATTCGAAGAATCCGCGCGACCGAGGGAAACGACGTGACGCAAGAAACCGAGAAGTCCTCGTGGCCCCGGGGACGATCGATGGAATCGTGAACGCGGACGAGATCTTGTCCGGACAAGGTCGCTCGTTCCCGCTCGCTAATTACAACCGAGATGTTTCGATGAAAGTTACGTGGCGAACTTGCTCCGCAACCAACGGAAACGAGACGCTTTTTATCCGTAGAATTCTTCAGTGTTCTTAGAAAGCTTGCAGAATTACGTCGGAGAATATAATGTTGAAGAAGATAATATATATATTAATTACATTGAAATATATTTATGTTCATAAACAAAAAATAATTCCACTTAAGCTATCAGAAATACTTGTATCCACTTATATGGTCGCTAGCATCACTGTCTTTGTTAAGGTACATAATTGTATATATCAAAAGGGGTTCTGAGACCCTTGCCTCATAATATCGTCATAGAGATTACGATTCGACTAAGATAATTTATATTTGTAAAGAAATTTTGTTTTAACTTCAACTATAGTTTCGATTCTTCAAGCTATTTTGCATGAAACATTGTTCCCCCAATGAACAGCTAACGATTGTATAAGTAGCTGCTGTATAGAAAAGAACAATTCGATATGTATATAGAATAATGATCAAGTATTCGCATATTTCGAAACAAGCACATGCTAATCGACATTGGCGAAGACATCGGCAACTTTCCGAAACGCAGTTGCAAGACGATTCTATTCAATCCTAGCGTCATGAAACATTTATGAAGCGCGCACATCGACAACCTGAAATTATAACTCGAGACGCATGCAACATTAAAGTATTACATATACGTACATACCTGTGAAACATTTCACGTCGCAATGCCAACCAGGTAACAAACGGTGTGCATGTATGTAGGTCCTCGAAATTCCTTGTTCCCGTGGTCAAGAATCGCAGACGTTGAATAATACATTATCGATAGCGTCTTTCGTAGAAAAACCTTGTATAATATCATTCTTTCGAAACCTCGACATTCCTGTCAAACTTCGTGAAATCCACCTTGCTCTTTTAGGTTAAACGACCATACTCGCTAAGCCATAACAATACACAATACACGTAATGTAACTTATGTCACGTCAGAGTGAAATTTGCAAAAGATAACCAAGACAAAACGTCAACTCGAACGTTGACATCGTGGCGCTGCCTGTCCTCCGGATTTAGTAAGGTTAAACGATCGTACCTTTTGGAAAGAATGGCATTGTAGATAAAACGTAGGATAAGAGAAATCGCGGGAAAATCTACAAACGAGAATCGCTTTGAAACTTTAACCGACCCGTCAACGTCGCGTCAAGGCTGGTTCCTCGAGTTTGGTAAGGTTAAACGGTCATTCCCTTGAAAACCGCGACACGATCGAGATCAGACTCTCGATAAGAGATCTTGCGTTCCATCGCGAAGAGGAAGACGCCATGGGTCACGCGCGATCAACGAACGAACACGCAGATACAAGGTCGAAAGGATCGTGTAACTTGAATTACCTTTTTTCGACTGCGCGAACCGCGGCATTGTGCGTGCACGGCGCGGCGGCACTCGTTCAGCCATCGAAATGAGTTATCGACGTTCGATCTTGCACTCGCTGGTGGACAATAACGCACCGTGAAGAAAAGAGTCGCCGCTTTTTTCCATGGTACACGCAGAAGGAACACGTTCTCTAAATCGATTCGATACGCTTCTAACCTGTGCCAGGTATCACGCGTCCAGCTGCACTGGCAATAATTGTTTCGCGCAATCGATATATCGCAGCGAATCGATATCCGCGGCGCATCTGCGATGCGTCTCGTGCGACCTAACGTCTTATTGGTCACTCGATGCGCTCCAATATCGTTGTTCAAATTTGAATATCTTTGGTGACCATTTCTTTTATGTATGAAGGAATTTCTGTATTGATGCTTAGCATTGACAGTGTCACAACTCAAAAAATGTCAAATTTGCTGTTATCGAATAAAAGTCTTGTATTATGTTTTTACTTTTATCATGTAAAACGGCATACTTGTAATTCCAGCAGTTTTGCGTCAAAGGTAGTTATGCCGCTGTCAACCAAGCCTTAGTTTTACAACAACTGTTAGCTCGTTTTTGTTTTCTGACGCGAAAAGTGGAAGGTTGTACTGCTTTCGCGAATATCGGCATATCTTGTGTTAAGTCAGCCTTATAATATCTTCGAAATGACGTACGAAGATTTCTTTGTAAATTTTTAAAAACATTCCTTCTAGAATTTACATTTTTTGAGTGTGTGCCACTGTCAATGCCAAGTAGCGATATAAGAAGATACAAATATAAACTACATAGTACTAAAAGTTATAAGTAAACTGCAATTTTACGTATTGCCTATAATCCGCGCATGTTTACATTCTCAAATTTTCTGTAAATCCGTAAAAGTTCGCAGCCCACTTATGACCAAAGTGCCGAAACGACTCCAATTACAAAATCCGCGATATATTTACACCCATCACTGTATTATAAATTTTTTAGAAGTTTTTCCTATAACCACAAAACCACGCTACACATATAAAACAAAAGATCGTACAAAGCAACTAACAGTATAGTTTAAATATAACTGTTTAGTTGTGCCCAAACTTTTTTAGTTATGTTGGAAGCATTGCAAATGCTATTTAAACAATACAAATACGAATATATTAAACGTAATTAATTTTGAACAGCAACGTTGAAAAGGAACGTTACAATTATTTTATACAAGATACGTATTTATTTTTTTAGCATGTTTTTGATAAGTAGGAATACAAGTATTTCTGTTTTAGAATAGATTTATACAGTGAATTATAAATGAAACAGATTTACACGGCAAGAAGGGATCCGTTCCGAAATAGAATCGGTTCGAGACCACTTCTCGTAAACTTCCTGGATTCTCGACGGCAGATCTCGGCCGACTCCGTTACCGAGATTCGTCCAAAAATCCTTGCAACTTCCAAGATCGAAAGAGTGATTTATATGCATGCGCACGTTTACGATCCTATCGAGTTAACTCGAAGGTAACCTATCAAGAGTAAAGGTACTCACAGTCTCTCCGTGAGACCAGTAAGGAAGCCTCGTCATTGGTGGAAAGGGATGCCCAGCGATGTCCCAGGCAGAGGCAGAAAGGCGTTCGCCAGTCTCTTCTCGACGCTCCGAGTCAAAACGTTGCGAAGGCCTTCGTCCGGTTTGCCTTGCGAATTTGAACGTCAAACACTTGTCAAAATATTTTTCAACAAATTTCGCGTCCAACGCGTCATCCACGTTCGCCTATTTTCGTGCTTTTCCTTGTTATTGTTTCTTACTTGTTTGTATTCGTTGATTATTGTGTTTTTCAATAATTTATCATTTTCCGTGGATAGTCGAGAAAGATTAACGAATGAACAATCCGTCGGGTTACAAATATCTATACTAGTGAAACTTCATCAGTTTTTCAAGTCTAAGATCTTCGAAACTGTAAACAGATTATACTCTATTCGATGTATATAAGCGGAAAATATTGACACGAATAAACGACTATTGTGAGAAGTTGACACTACGTATGAATCACGAAGACGGAAATCATAGTTAAATCGTGACTACAAACTTCTTTGTCTTGTACGTAACAGTCGATTTGCAAAGTGTTTGATTCCTCGACGGGAGTTAGTGCTGTCCTCCGAAAATCGTGAACAAGCCCAAGAGATATTAAAAGCGACTGGATCCAGGAGATCGTGTTACTCTTCAACCAACCACAGCTAGCAAATGTTCCACGGGAACCGCTCGATTCGTGACTGAAAAGGTATTTAAATATTTACTTCCTTGGCTCCTCGATTTCCCCGTATTTATTCAACTGGTACGTTGGAAGTACTTGGCGCGAATTGCGTTAGTAACTCACATCCCGGTGCTAATAACACACGACAAGAGTTCGCCGCAGAGGTTCGTTTCGTTCCGACTGATCGAATAAAGGCTATTATTTGTATGGGAGAAATATTTCTTCAAACATCTTTTGATTGATCGACCAATCAATTGAAAAAATATTTCTCCAAACATCTAAGCCAATAAAATATACGAGACAGGTCTACGCTACTTATATTAATTGCGTGATCGCGAAACAATTTGACCTCGAAGCTGGCAAAAAAGTACGATCGAACAGCTGCTGATGTCGTTAATTTCCAGTAATGAATTAGAACGTAAAAAACATCTCGAAGTCTGGCGTTTCGCATAATCGGATGAATCATTGACTATCGAATAATTCGAAACTGAGTCACGAACTGATCGCGTCATCGCAGTACCATACTAAATAAAACACCGTTAAGGAGAAAACCGCTTTCAAGTTACCCGGATACGGAGCAATTAGCAGACTCAAAAATTACGATTCTGTATTTGATGACGAGAGAACGCTTTCAGCGGCAGGATGTGGGACATTAGAGAGGCGCGCAGTGTGCAGCATCGCGAGTAAAAAAAGATTCCTCCCCTGGACCGGGTGCTTCCATCCAGATCGACGAAAAAGCTCGCCTTGAAACGAAAAAGGGGACCGCTATATCGCTACAAATACTGTTCCAACTATAAATTGTAGGAACGTAGCATGAGGTAGACAGAATTTTACCTCTTAAATATAAAACAAGGCAGTGCAAACTATATTTAACAATGAAATAGAAGTAGTAGAATGACAATTTGATTCCATAATAATTCTTACTCAGGATGATTCAATTCTTTCCGACTCTGTTCCTCTGAATCCTAATTATTATTCTAAATTCTTTGGTGATTCACACAGAATTCTCTCGATTCTTATTGCACTGTTAAATCTACTGCATTCTTTGGATCATTCTCGACTGAGTCGTACCTTTCTATTAATAGAAAATTTCTTAAATTTGAGAAAAATACGAAATAATCGTTATTGATACGCGCTTGATTTCTAGCTTCAACTGTATGCTCGTGATTTTTTTTAAACATTCAAAGTGTTCTTGGCAACAAGATCAACCACTTGCGTCCGAAATCCCAATTGTGTTGACATTATTTTTTCAGCATCGTACGAGTGTTGTAAATATTCGAATGAAATAAATTATAAACAACACTTTATCGTTTTCAACAACATTCTCGCGTAATCAATTTATGTAAACATTATACTTGAACGTTCCGTTTGGAAAGTAATAAAACATCAAACGTAAAAATGATATAATGATAACAGCTCAAACGATCGGCTACTATCTTAATTTGTTCGATAACAAATTGATGAAACATTTCATTCGACAAGGAAATTGATCAATTTTTTAATTACAGTCCACGGTACGGTTCAAAAACTGAATTCCTCTTCGTGATCACTTTTTCGAGCAATCGTGCATAATCGTTCAAACGATTGTTCCAGAAATATTAACACATTGTTTGCGTAGATTATAAAATTAAGAAAGCAATCGTAGACGATAATTTAACAATCGATAATTTGTTCTCATGAAATTGATTTTTTATTGAATAGAAACGTTAAAATTCTATGCGCGAAGGGTTAAGAATCTTTCACACAACACACATTCCTGCTACGTGCTACTAAATTTCCACATGGCACCATGCACATGCATACCAAATCTCCATGTACAATCTCCGAATCGTTTCTCACCTGCTATTAATAGCATAAACATTCGTTCACAGTTCTCCACATCATTCGATGTTATTCACGCTGAGTTATTCTCGAGTCGATCGATCTTTGTGTTTGCATCCTATTCACAAATCGTTCAGCGAGATAAAAGAAAATAATAATTCGAACGGATGGACGTACGAGTCTTTGGACAGCAAAATCGGCTCAAATTTTTCTTAAGCGGATTTACCAAAGGATGTGGTTACAAAAATTCAATTTGTCTCCCGCACTGACCTCGAAGCTGCACTTTCACTCGCCACCCACAGAAAATCGCAACAGCTGTCGCCCGTTTACTCGATCGTCCGCTCGCTCGCTCATGCACAGGATATTTTTCGAATTTCAAAGGTAGACCATGCCAAGGGCTTCGGCCGCTGGCAGCTGACACTGCAGATGGGGTACACCTGCCTCAAACTATTTACCGTCTCATTTCGTTGCTGTTTGCCCAAGAAGCCAGGCGCACACTTGATTACAACTTCGTTAAAGTCCCTATCTCCGTCACTGATTTTTCTCATTTAACCCTCAATTGTTATCACGAATGAAATATTACTGCATGCTAATTTTATTCCAATATTATCTTCTTGCACGAATATCATCGCAATGTTATTTATAACCACTGCAGACAATAACTTCTTTGTACTTCATTCAATATCGAATATAACGAGAAACTATAATATAGCATCCCAACCGATTAAGAAAGCTCGTCTTCAAGCTCGACATTTTCATCGTACCCTGATAAATAGTTTACATTCAAAGTACAATGTGTTGTAAAAAATTACTGATCTCTCCTTCTTTTGGAGATATTCTCTCCTTTATCTTATGTTTCCCAAGATCATTCCGATCCAATCGCTTATTTTGTTTCCACGTATCAACAAGAAAACATCGTAATCTCGTTAAAATCCGTGATGAGGTATTTTCCTCTGCAAGTTAATTCAAACTATGATACAAACGAATGGCGCGATAAAGGAAATATCTAAGAATATCTTTCTAAAGAATACCATAACGTTGTAGAAACGCTATTTCTAATATTAGAAATATTATCCGCTACTGTAAACACGCTACATATCGATGCATGACTTGAGACTTCTGCACACTACTGTACCTATACATACGTAAACCGAAAACAAGTTCGGCGGCACTGCTTTTGAGTTGACGAGCAAGTGGCATCATCCTGTAGAATTCGCGACGTGGAACGCACAATTAGTTCATTCATCGAATACATCTCCGGCATAGTGCATGTGTATATGGTCTTGTACGAGCATATTAAATTTCCGTACGACACGCGGCGATGTGTTGATCGGAGGCGAGGTTGGTCGGTCGGTCGGTCGGTCGGTCGGTCGGTTTATCGGGTAGGCGCCAACTACTCGTTGCTCGCTGTAACTCGCGAGATACACTCTGTTAGCCGCGCGAACGATCATGAGAGCGTTTATTATTTCAGCAGGGTCATGGGGGCTGGGTGTATCGCGTGCACGCGCACACCCGTTCAAACCGCTGCAATTCTCCACGATTACCTCGGGGCGAGAATAGATTCGACCGTGGATTTCGGAAGCGTTAACGATACGCCTGCAACGCGATAATTTCTATCGTGGTTGATGCTACGTGCCATTCCGTCTATTGTAAAGCGTGTCTATCGTCGTTGAATCAATATTGGTTACACGTTTAGGAGCGTACAACAACAAACGAGCTTAATTGATCGATTGTCCGTCTGGGATCGGAAATCGTAACCCTGATCGAATCACGCGTCACGTGTATCCAAGCTTTGCGTTCGAAGATTACGGGCCAAGAGTATAAACACATTACGTAGCTATTTTGCACAGAGAAGCAGTTCTACAATTCGTCGTGCGAATTATAGACTCGAGCATATTCGAAGTTATTTCAAATATCATTCTCAATAACATAATATTCGATTTTACAATTAATTCTAGATTCGTAAATAATTTCTGTGAAAATAGAAAAGTCTTTTAAAATGATACGATGTGTTTATCTTTTGAGATAATCAACAATTATAATGACATTTACGAATATCGTACTGCTTCATCCTCTTGCATCATATTTGCTATTATTTCTTTCGTCAAAATTCCCTGACTAATCATAAACCGATGTTAAAATCAAAAGAAATCTAAATAATTAGAATAAATGAAAAAATAAATATTTACCATTTTTTTCGCCTACGATCTTCGTTTGAGCATGGAATGGCTATCACTGAAACGTTCCGATCCACGAACGTCAGTTCAGTTCGGGTGAAAGTTGCGAAAGAACGTTTCAATTTCTATCGATCATGACGCAAATACTAAATCGAACGTGTCATATCGCCGTACGATCGATAGATCAAAGTTCAAAGCATCAAACTTGGAAAAGTTAGTACGACGCAACGTGGAAACGGCTGAAACATAAAAAATTATCTGGTTACGTCATATCGCAATTAAGATTACTTCTTGCAATCTACTTTCGATGATTGCAACGCGTGGTTGATTTCTATCGTGGAACAATATAACCGATCCTGTGCGGTGGCTCGCGCGTGGCTCTGGCTCGCTTTAAGGATTATCTAATCGTTGATGTGTCTTTCAATCATTCGATTCTGTAATTGGCCAGGTAATAGCCGGTTGCTCTGGCCATTTAATTGAATTCATACTAATTAATGACGAGTTAATAATTACAAGAACGCTCGTGTTGCTTCGTGACCGTGTTACGGGCCGGTGATTTCACCGTACAACGAACTACATCATGAGAATTACGCCGGCTCGTAATACACGCTTTTACCAGAATAGAATACCCAACGCAAACTCCAGCACACGCCTCTGCCACTCTGCCGTTCACAAACCTATCGTAAACGAGTTTACGATTAAAGAATCCCACGCGACGTCTGCATTAACGCGCGTTTAACTTAGGCTCAACCAGCCGGAAAGTTATGTCGCGAATTTCGACTGGAGTTCTGGGAACAAGGGGAAATAAGCGACGGGGTAACAGGTATCTCCCTGTAAGCCCTCGCACCGCTCTTAACTGCAAACAAGCTTGTGGGAGTGGGCACGTTTGTTATCGAAGCTGTTTGCACTGTACCGATGTTCCAACAGTATCGACCCACGCGGCGAGTAACGTACTTCCGGTCAGCCGCTCCTTCGCCTCATCGAATTTCTTTCCACTGTCTTCCGCTAAGAAATTTCAGATATCAAACAAGTTTTTGACGCACCAAGATCGCAGAAAAAATAGACGATTATACGATAAGGTAGAAGAATTTTAATATCATATAAATCGAAGCGATCTTATCCGAGTATGGTAAGCAGGCAATCGTAATAATTATTATCGTAATAATAAAGTTAGCAGAATAATAAAATTTAGTCGAGTTACATCCTCGTGTATCTTATCCGTCAAATTCTTCTCTCCAGCAGCTTCCCTTCCGTCGTAAGAATCCATCCCTTAAGGCTACACGCGAGTCTGCTTAAGAGATCCTCACGAGTCTCGTGATACACCGATTTAAGCTACTTTGATTTCACTGGGCGGCGTACAGTGGGGCGTTGATACTTAGCGGCGCCCGAGTTCCTCTCTCTTGTAACGTGCCGGTCCTCCACGATGCGCTTTTCAGCGGCAGCCAGCAATTTGCCGTAATTATTATGTTTATCTTTCTCATTCACTTAACTCGATGCACGGAGACCGGTCCATCTGGTTGCATTCGATTTTTACCGAAACGATTTCGTCCCGGCGTCGTAGCTGCAAAGACTGACATCGCCACGCGTCGACCATTACGTTTCAGAGGCGGTACGGATGATCCACTTTGTCAAACTCCATTTGCGTGATTCCCTTCCTTCCCGTTTCAGTCAGCCAGGCACGAAATCTTGTTCCGACAATCGGTCGAAGCAAATTATCGAGTTTCGTATAGGAACAAGACGAGGTGGTGCTTTGGCAAACCTGAAATGAACAAAATTGCGAGGTACAGCAGATGTTCGACCAGAATGCTAGCTGTACGAGTGACGTCCAATTTTTACGCGCTGCCGACCACACAGCCACGCGTTCAGCGTTATTACGTCTTTGAAAGGCCGACCCTGATGATCCACTTTGTCAAACTCAATTTGCGCGATTCCCCTGCCACGACACAGAGAGTTCTCGCTACACTCGACAATTTGCGGGGTTCAACGCAGGCAACCGTGTGGTTCGTGACAGCGATGGGGAAATGTGGTCGGAACGTCGTGACACCTTCGAGGAATGGGAAGAAACGACGTTAAAACTGTATCTACCCTCCACGTGGTTTTCTACGATGAAAGTCGACGTCGCAAGATGGAGAAAGGAATCGTAAGATTACTCGATGCCAAAGATAACACTAAAAGATTTCGACCGACCAATCAAAAATTCTCTAAAATTCCCAATGGTCCTCTTACTATCGAAGGATTATACTGGGTTTTTATTAAATTTCCCAAGTTCGTGAAAAAAGCTATCGTTTGTACGCGCATCTCAGATGCGAATCCGCAAGAGAATTCTCGTCGTCGACATCGCGACGAGGAACGTCGTCCGTTTGTAAATCCGCTCGGCCTCCGCGAAGTTAGCTCGGACGGATTGTTCCGTGGAGCGGAGGTTCGTGGAAAAGTGTAAAGAACGTGAATAGGGAGGAGGATGGCGAACGAAAGAGCACGAGAAAGGGAGGGGAAGGAATGAGAGTCGAGGATGAAGCGGAAGGGCAAGGAAGACAGAGAACGGTAGGAAAGGAGAAGAGGAAAAAGAGAAATAAGCGAAGCGGGAGAAACGGCAAGCGACAGAAGGAGAAGGGCAAAGAAGATTGGCGAGGAAGAGGTGGTGGTTAAAGGAGGAGAGGAGGGTTCGAGAGAAGTAAGTAGAAGAGGAAAAAGCAGAGAAAGAAGAAGAAGAAGAAGAAGAAGAAGTTAAGATGGTCCAGCGCGGGCAGCATCAGCATCGCGAGCCGGAGGTGATGACCTGCTCAAGGCCACCCGCTCCCAACTCTTAGACCGGAGAGGAGAACCACTCTTCTTATTTTTCGTTGCTCCCTTTTCTCTCTTTCCACTTCTTCCAACTCTCCCTCCTTCCTTCCGATTCTCTCTCGCTCACTCGCATTTCCCAGCCAACCTGTCCTCTTCCTGTTTACCGCTCCCGGACTGATTTGCTCTCTTTCTCTCTCCCTCTCTTTCTCGTTCCCTTTTTCCTGTTTGCTGGTTCGGTTCCCTCGGTCGGAACCCTTAATGTCAACTTCCCGCCGGGCCTTTCGTCGAGCTCCTCTTCCCGTTCGATCGCCATTGAAAAATGTCGTCTGAAAAATGCTCGTCTTAATCGTCGCCACACGATACACGCCACAGTGTACCGTAAAACGTAACGCTCCTGTATTTTATGATATAACCATGATAATCGAGTCTGGTAACTGTTCTTTCGAAATTTCAAAATGTTTTACATAACGCACGTAATATACGTATTCATAGAACGTGTCTACGAATGTTTGAATACTTCCGCGAGCTATGTACCACGTACAAGAGTATTTGCTGGTACTAGTACCTTGTAACTTGTGACTAGTAAAATTTCGCTAATAATATTAATTCAAGCGTACAAGAGGGCCTTGGAGTGGTAGAGGAATGAAAGAACGTAATATTCTCTTGCGGTCGCACGGCGCGATTGAAATTTTTGCAAATGCGCACGGATTACTTCCTCATCCTCGACTAAACTATCCGTAAAATTGAAACGGACATGGAATTTTAACGCTCGATTAAGCCACGCGTTCGTATTCGTCATAACGTCCAAGCTCGGATCGCGGCACCATCGTGACTTTACGATTCACCGTAAGAACTCTTAAAGCAGACGATATCGCTCGCTTTAAATCTGCCGGCACCGCAAAAATATTCCTCGCCGTCGAAGAACGCGCGTCACCATCCGCTGCACTAGCGAAAATTCTTCGCCATCTATCCGACACCGCTCTCGCTATAATTCGATCAACCGTTTCTCGTTCGAAGTCTCAAGGACGGACGAAGGTATCCAGTTGTTCCTTCCGACTCCTTCCTTCCCGCTACTTGGCTTCGTAATTAAAATCCGCTGAAGCGTGCTTTTCTTTTTAAAAGAATTTCGTTTTAAACGGTAGAATTTTCTCTATTACAACCGCCGTTATTCGAATATTCTTTTCAAAGAAACCAATGGTTAAAGATATTAATTTGTTAAGTATTTTGATTACTCGAAATCATTATTTTTTTAATTATTAATTATTTTTCTTTACCAGCAATCTAACGTTCCATTATTCCGACTTTTTTGCCATTCTGATAGCTCAAATGTGAGAGAGCGTACCGAATAAGAAAATCGTAGACGGTTGAGAAAGATTCGGAAGCGAAGGATACCGTTCTGCATCGCATTCGGCACATTCCATCGTAGGGTTCTCGTCGAGAAACCTTGAAACGGACATCCTCGTTAATCGTGACTCGAAATCCATAGAAACTCCGGAGATCATTCGCTGCGATCTTGCAACAAAATCGTAATTTATCGAATCTATTTACGATATCAGCGGAAGATTACGGCGATTAAATTCACCTTCGTGTCGAATTGTTTCGAAACGAGAGCACCCGCCAATCTTTGAGATTAATTAATAGCGATCGAGTTCAAAGGTTTGTTGGCGTCGTGGGAGGGAAGTAGAGAGCCGGTGGACGTGCCGCGTCTCAAGATACGGATCTGCACGGGCAATGTTCATTAAGCGATCAAGGTCGCAGGGAACAAGAGTCCAGTCGAGTCCCCGTAGCCCGTATAGTCTTCCGCGTATTCCGTTTATTGCTGAATGAGTGTAATGGTGTCCTGCATACGGAAATACGCTGCTACTCGACTCTACGGTCTACGTTAAACAGTCTCCACACGATGAGATTTATCTCGAGACATGACTCCATATGAGATCTCGCACGAGACGAGAGGTATCACGATACCTATTCATAATCGACAGCTTCGAAACAGCGAAATACCGTTTTAACATTTATGCGAAAAAAAATTACAATTATGGATCACACGAGACACGCGTGATAAACGCGCTTTCAATTTTCTAATTTCCGTGTTATTTGATGTCTGCTGAAGCACTCTAACACATAGTAATTACATAGTTGCAAAGAGAACTCGTTAATTTCAAGGATTGTTATAAACAGCTGATAAATCTACGAGATTTCCATATTTTTCACTCACTATCTTTGAAGCGTGCAAGGAAAATATTCAGCGAAAAAACCTCTACGCATATGTTTAGATTGGTCTCAAATATTACCAACACGAGCATGACAATTGCGTCTCGTTATAGTGCCACTGAAATTTCAAAATGTTTTACATAACACGCACGGTATACGCATAAAAATTTTCTGCGATAATTGTCGTAAATGTTGAAACGACGTTACATAGTTTCAGAGCCGCTGTTTACGATAGTCGATCCATCTCGTGCGAGACCTAGAGGCATGCTTCGAGGTAAATCTCACCCTGTAGGTGCTGCTTCAGGGAAACAGACAGCTTGCTGGATCTCTCTCTCTCTCTCTCTCTCTCTCTTTCTCTCTGCTTAGTACACGCACAGCGTAAGCACCATAAGCTTCAACGCACAGTGGACACACATTGGACTCGTGTCGTACGCCTATTTGACTCGCCGTGTATCTGATGTTTAATAAACGACAGGTCAACTAGAGTGAACCGTGCAGCTGTGGCCACTAGCTGCTAGCTATTATGTACCTCGATTCATTATCACTGGTCTCTGTTTGTGTACGTTAAGTTTTTCGTTTCGTTACTGTCGCTCGGTAGTTTCTCTTAATTGAAACGTCATCCAACGATACCGAAGTGTTCGCAATCGCAGTTTGAAAAGCCGTGGAAACGCAGTCTGCGGCTCGAGTGTCGCTCGATAACGCGAGCCGCGTTTAAACCCTTTTGCAAATACCGCACTGATTTTCTCGTGTTTCCTGATTTCAGCGCGGAATGACGAGGTAGACAACGCGAATCGAAACGCAAACTCTCTCGAGGCCACCGTTGAAAATCTCCAAGCAGGTAAGCGAACACACGTTACTCGTTTGCTATTAACTTATTGAACGAGGAACAATTAATTTACCATTCGAACTGCTAATCCTTTAAACGTAATATCAGGTCGTTCGAAAAGCTTGTAGCGTAGTATAAGAAAAAGTAATGCTTTCAGGATCGAATATCATTTAATCTATGAGAAAAATCTTCTTTATCGATTATCAATGATATGCTATAAAACGCTACGAAATAACATTTTGCGTTGTCACAACTTGGTCCTTAATGAGTCAAGGTATTATCTAGTTAACGAGAAAATTAGATGGCTCGAGATCCCACGAATCTTTCGAGTCATCCAAGCTGAAGCTCTTGCAGACATTCTTTCGCGGCATTCCTTTCTCAGAACCGCTTCTCCGGGTTTACGAAGAAGGCAAGGGGAATAAATTTTTACGGAACCCGCGGCGAGTATTTCTGAGCGGCATGACCAACAATCATTCCGCGAGGCGCAACAATGGTGCTAAGCCGCAAATGCTCGCCGGTTTACGACGCGATGGCCCGTCCTTCGGCCGGTGAAAGTCTGCAAGAATTCGCCCTCGATCGTGCCTGCGAACTTCACATTGAGATACGCTCGTGACGTGTCACGATCTGGTTCGGGACCGGTAATGAACGCCTCGTGTCGGCGTCCCAGGACGAAAACGAACAACGTGGTCGAACTATCTTCTAGATTTTAGATGTCGGAGTCACGATTCTCATTCCCCGCATATTTCTCTGCTAGTTGGCGATTTCGTTCCACGGAATTCTGCCCGAGTATCTGCTCGACCGTGTTAACCTATTAAGAACCAAGAAGTGAAATCATTCGTAAAAGTTGGAAAAAACGCAACCTCGTTGAATGTGTCACTTATTATTAGTTAATTATCGTATAGCAACCTATTAGTTTATCAGAGTTAAAAACGTATTAGAACGACGTAGTGACTCGCGACAATTTGAAATATTTTTTAGAAAAATACATTGAAAATGACTGCAGCCGAAATAAATTTCTAAAATGCACTAAAACTATTGACCAATCTATAGCCTGAACGATAGGAAATAATCAGTTTCGTTCAATCGATTGCATCTTCTATTAACGTCCCATAGATTTCTCTCGATTGAAATATTATCAGATAAAATTACTATCGATAACTAGCGTACGACGATTACGAAAACGATTGGCACACTATTGTATTTGTTATAATTATATATTTTATTATATTTACATTATAATTAATTAGGTGTCGTGAAATGTAGAACGTACATTTTGCAATCACTGTAAACGATTGATTTGCTATTAACGAGCGACAAGCGAAGCGTCCAATAGTTGCTAAATATCTGTCGAATCGAAACGAATCACTGATTTCTAATTCCTTGACTGGCATCGATATTTTTCTGCTTCTATCAAAGCGTTAGTCACCGCGCTTTTCTCTACGTTCTCCGTTATCTGCTCTTCGATTCGCCACGGCTAAAGTGGAAAAAAACACTCGATAAGGGGTTATTGTTAATTTACCAGATAAAGGGAGAACAGCCTTGTACATTGCGAACTGACGTGACGCTGGTCGAACACCGAATCAGTCAGATAAAACATCGCGTGTCCAGCGGCCGTTACATATTGATACTCTGATGTTTAGTTTCTACGTCGATCGATGCGGTATCATCGTAGGGACGCGACAATCTCGTAAGTAAGTAGATCGCCAACAGAAACTAGAACGCGAGCATCGAAATTTCCAGGAAAGTATGATAGAAGCGAGCGCAATTCCTGAGAAAACGCAACGAAGATATCGTTACATCTCTTAATTTCCGTGTACATTGTACATACGAGTGATTCACGCAAGTATTTCAACACTTATCATAGAAATCTTTTATGTGTATGTTTATCTATCTATGACATAAGGATGTATTATATAATATCAAGCATTTTAAGATTCTATCGATACCCCTTACATGTGTATATACAAGGTAAAGGATATTTACTGCAAGCGTATATTTAATAAAAAGTAAACGTTGTAAATTTAGTCGTCTTAACGTTTGTTTAAACGTTTTTATGATTTCTACGAAATACGTACTTGTACCAAATATCTTTCAACTTCCTCGTAAGTTTTCATATTCGTTTGAAATTCTATCAATATACGCAATGGCGAAAAGTCGAGTCTCGTTACAAAATTAATGAAACTTGCAATGGTTTCGTATAACACGCGTATGATATATCCGTAAAAGATTGCTACAAGCGTTAAGGTACTTTCACGAATTACCGTATATCGGTAAAACGAAGAGGTGGATTCACTGAAAGAAACGAGGAAACGCGTACTGTATGAATCGGCGCGAATAAAAAGCTGCTATTGGCTGTCGGAGTACGTCGTATCGATATCGAGACACGTAAACTCGCTATTCGTTGCCCCGAACCACACCATTATTTTCATCAGTCAGCGTATTTTCTTTTTGAGCTATCGCCGACACACTAGTTTCCCTTTAAAAAAAAATAATTGGATAAGATTCTCGAGGTGTGATTCGTTTCCTACTCGTCTCGCGAGCCGCTCCCATGAACAAGAACGGACGAAGACCGCGTCATCGGTGTATCGAGGCACGTACGACATGTCGCTGACTTCAATGCCAATATTTCCGCATTCTGGAATCTTATTTCTCACTATGGGATATTTATCGCCTACCTGACGAGTTGATAAATCTTTCAGATACGATGGTACTACACATTTTTCTAACAACCTTTTGTACCACCTAGCAATTATTTAACGGTGAACTGCCATGCAGCCAATGAGAATGTCATAAATACGAGCATGAATCGTTAAAACTTGAGAAATAAATTTATTTCTAGCATTTTGTGATTTTTTGTAATATCAAAGTATTTTTTAGTCCTCGTACCTAAAAGAATTATGGGAATATTCTACTGTAGAAAGCAAGACTTCCTTTGACATTTTCGTACAAAGAATCTCTACCTTCGTCGGTGTTCTGCACATATATTTAACTATATTCCTACAAATTTTAGAGACGAATAGCGACAATTGTTGGTAGTGTACAAAGCTTGGAACGTTTTCGCTTAAGGATAAAATCTTCTCACGACTTGCATCGTTCCTTTGCATTCGTTCAAATAAGCTCAATTACATTGACTTCGAGAATTCGAATGCAGACTTTTGCACGTATATTTCTACAACTTCGTCTTTCTCGAAGCTTTACGCTGGAATATTCTCTTAAAACGTAGGTCGTTTGTATTTTACTGTCACTTACCACTTACTACGCTTCGTTCCTTCTTCCCCGACATGTCGTAAAAATTCTCGCTCGGTATCGAAATACGACTCGTTTAGAGCCAAAATGTTCCGTCGCAAAAGGTCGCTTCTTGATGGCCCTTTGACCCGAGTGTCAACGCCAAGCGAGGGAAATAATGTGGGAACCATGCGATTGCGCGATCAATTGGGTGCTGGGCGTGTAAAATCGGAGTAACGGTGGCTGCTTTGTCTGCCACGAAACCAACCTTTGCGATTCATCGGCGAATCAGTGGAATCAATTTCGCTGTACGGACCGGCTAGCCCGATGGTGTTGATCGAAAGCTCTTGTTCGATCCAGGGAAAAGCATTCGATCGTTTGTATTTGAAATTGTCCACCTACGCACATACGTCACGTGGATTGGTTACTTTCCAAATTCGACATATTATTATATAGATATATGTGACGAATGAGTTATCTCATGCGTAACGAACTATCGATAAACACGTCTTGTGTCGTTCGCACATTATCGGATAGTATTCGATGATACAACAAAACGAGTTGACAAACCGTTGCGAAGAGGATTTGGTTACTTACGCGTGGTAGTTGAACCGATCGGAAACCAAGCCACGTTGAAAGGCCGCGCTACCAGCGGAAAGTAAATTCAGTAGAAAATGGATGGACGGTAGGAAGAATTTCGCAAACCGTTTTCTCATAGAGGCTCGCCGTAAAGGGAAGTTTCATTGGTAACAAAAGGCCACGTTCGCTCGTTCGAGCCAGTAGGCGCTATAAAATTAAAGGCACTAAGGAAATCCTTCGGTGATCATCCGCCGGCAGGAAAGAAACGGAAATTGAACGTTTGACGAGTGCAGCCGGTTGACTCGAGTGGCCTGAAAGTAACGCGAACTTCGTTTCGCATTTTAAAGGATTCTTTTCTTGTTCGTGGTCGTGACGTCGCGTGCACGCCCGTAAAATTCGAAGGGAAAAGTCAGATAGACCGTGCGATTCGTGATGTAACGCGTGAATCAGAGTGTGAGATTCGTAGGCCAAAAAGGATTTCATAACGCGGCTTAGCGAGATCCGGCCTCCCTTATCGAATATTCTTTAGCCGCGTGATTTAACGAGCGATGTTTTACCACTGTGTATTAAGTGCAGATAACGTAACCACTTCTCTTCTGTTTTTAAACCTCCTTTACTCGAGCCTCTCGAAAGCTGAACTGATTAAAACTTCGGTTTTTAACTCGGCGAGGACGACTACTCGTCCATGTGCCGGAACTCGCTACGAGTTCAACGAGCGATGTATTAGGTCGCCCGAAAAGTTTCTTTCGTTTTATAAGGAAATAACGGATGCACATTTTCGGATGGACATTTTCCGTTTTATATTATTTTATCGAATTACGTATGATCCATTTTGTTCTATCAAAATAAAGATTACAACGTTCGACAGATTAGATTTCGTGTTTGTATAAACATGTGTCGTTGTAAAAGACGCGTCTGTAAAAGAAAGACACTTTCCGGACAACCTAACACTTCTGTCCATGAGTCAATTTAAGCTTACGACTAAATTTTAAACGTAATTTGTAGCAAGATATAGGTCCGTAATACTTAATAATACTCTTAGACGCATACTTATTACAATTGACAAATTAGTTTTCCTCGTAATACTCGCCGGTAATAATTTCATTTTGTAATTACAATTGATCCATTTGTACATCTATATCTGCTCCGTATATGCATATGCTCTTTTCATTAGTAACGCCACTGTAATTGAAATAATCCTTCGGTCT